GGATTCCACCAGTACGCTGTATTTCACTTGAGTAACAGAAGAAGATTTGTGGGTGCAGGGAGGCTGGGAGCAGACCATTGGAGTTCATCCACCTCACTATTGTGTGTGACCTATAGTATTTCTCACCCCTAGGCGGTATTATTTATTCGTGCTTTGGTACAGTCTGTGTCTACACATCACTTCAATTATAAGAGTATAGGGCCTGATTCTGGGCCTGTGGAAATCAGTGCAAACTTTGCCATTGATTTCAGAGGGCGCAAGAGGACACTCTTCATGTGTTTCATCTGAGGATCTCAAAGCACTTGTAAATACAGAATCATAGAAGTGTCCAGCTGGAAGAGAAACCCAGAGGTCAAGTAGTCCAGCCCGCTGTGCTGAGGCAGGATTAAGTACACCTAGACCTAACATCATGTTAGTTTAGTAAGCATGGCAACACCCTTGTGAAGCAGGCGAGTGCTGTTATTTCCTAAGGCATTATAAAGCACTGGCATTGATTTTTAAATTGGGTTTCTATGCACTGGGATGGGGCTCAGAGCTGGGGGCAGACAGCAGAAAGAAGTGGGCTTTGAGGAGACTGTTGCAGGAGCCGGGGGATGGAACTTGCATGGTATAAACGATCCGTCCTTCCCTTAGCCCCCTGCCGCCATTGCTGTCACTCCCTAGCGGGACTCCTGGGGAGCAGATAAGAACATAAGAAAGGCCATACCGGGTCAGACCAAAGGTCCATCTAGCCCAGTATCCTGTCCACCGACAGTGGCCAATGCCAGGTGCCCCAGAGGGAGTGAACCTAACAGGCAATGATCAAGTGATCTCTCTCCTGCCATCCATCTCCACCCTCTGACAAACAGAGTCTAGGGACACCATTCCTTACCCATCCTGGCTATTAGCCATTAATGGACTTAACCTCCATGAATTTATCCAGTTCTCTTTTAAACGCTGTTATAGTCCTAGCCTTCACAACCTCCTCAGGTAAGGAGTTCCACAAGTTGACTGTGCGCTGTGTGAAGAAGAACTTCCTTTTGTTTGTTTTAAACCTGCTGCTTATTAATTTCATTTGGTGACCCCTAGTTCTTGTATTATGGGAATAAGTAAATAACTTTTCCTTATCTACTTTCTCCACATCACTCATGATTTTATATACCTCTATCAT